CTCGACAAAAAGTTACAAATATACCGGAAAGTTTGATAAACTTGCGCTACAATTTAAGTTCTGAATAAACACGCTTTAGAAATACTCACAATTTCTTCGTCTGGATTAACTTCCCTACTGAAAATGTCCACAAACTGCCACGTCACCAGTTATGCCTAGAAGATAGAAGCTGAAAATTTACTTTGTCTAATATCTTTTATCTCTTGAATTTTGTTTAAAAAGATAAGAGAATTTACTACCCTGCAAGCAGTGGCTTCTACTAGGAAGAGAGAAAACTGGCAACAGCGAGCGACCGAGATTATCGAGCCGCCGTCCAGCGCAAGTGATGGACAATGGAAAGACAGCTTGCCCGCAAAGGAGGACGTTACATTTTTCCTATCGTGTATCACGTGATGTAATGACGCACACGCAACTACGCAATTTCACCGGCAAAAAATGTCTACGCATGCTCTGCAAAAAATGACACGTGATCGATTTCGCGTTATGTCATTGGCTCCGAGGCGAAAATGCCCGCGAAATGTTGTTCAGATGAAAGAAGCAATCTGGCAGCTTTTTTTGGCAGTGACAGCGTTGCAATTTCTTGCCACTGTGAGAGATCAAAAATTATTTTGGTCATAGTTTTGACGGAAGTGTGTTGCGTCCTGAAACTAGCGAAAAATTGAATTGGCATGGTCTGATTTAGTGTTATTGACGTTGAGATCGCTGGTTTGCACCGTGGGAGACATGCCGAAAAGGTGGGTAATTTTTACTCTCTTTTTTTACTACATGCTCCGTGCAACTCGGTACAAAAAGAAATTATAAAGTGGTGGAAGAAAAATTATTTGGCTTTGTTTTGGTATATAAAGTAGCTTGTGCCCGGTTACACGGAAGCGACAGTTTTGTTAAAATGTGTATCCCGTTTTTGTGTCAAAATTCGACTTTGATTGTGAATCTAACATTCGAAAACATTCATTTAGTATTTTATTTATTTTACATTTGCGGCATAGAATAAATATTACGGAAAAAAAAAGAAAAAATATTACTAAGATTGCAAATTTACAGGACAGGAAAAGCTACAAAAATAGTTCAAAATTAATATAATAATATATTAAGTGACTTAACTATATTAACGGATAGAGTGGCGAGGAAGCCCAATAGAAGCTAAATAGCTTGTAGAAATTGGACTCCTCATACCTAGTTAAGATTTAATGTAAGTTGCCATATCATGATCAGGCGAGTTTTTTTTATAACTCTCTCGATAAGGTTTTTTTAATGAAGTATTGAAACTAGAGTAACGTGTCAGTTGCGTAAGATTATAAGGAAGGGAGTTCCATGATTTAAATGATATTTCCAAGAAAGATGCTGATCTAGTAAAACACCAAGAAACTTTGTCACTTCAACCTGCTGCACAGCAATATTATTTAGCGTAGTTGTATCACTAACAGTAATGGGTTTTTGCCTGGGTCGAAAAAGAATATCGTTTGTTTTGGCGACATTGAGTGATAATTTGTTTACTTTATGCAATTCATATATTTTTGAGAATTCACAATTCATAACACGTATGATCTGATTAGGAGCTTTATGAGAATAAAAAAGGCTAGTATCATCCGCAAACATAAAAGTCTTTAACAGATTTAATAGATGCATTAGGGAGGTCATTAATATAAATAATAAACAAAAGAGGTCCTAAAATTGATCCTTGGGGAATACCACATACAACTGTATCCGGTTGAGAACATGCTGAAGTAAACTGAACAAGCTGCTTCCCGTTTGTCAAATAGCTAGAGACCGAATTGAGAGAATGCCTCCTAATACCGTGGTGATCGAGCTTATTGAGCAAAATATTATGATCAATACTGTCAAAAGCTTTCGAAAGGTCTAAGAAAACTCCAGCAGTCGACACCTCTTGGTAAAGTTTAGAAAAAGCTGGAAAAATGGAAATGGGCCAATAATATTCAATTTTTCTGGATCACCAGTTTTAAAAATAGCGAGAACTTTTGCGATTTTGAGGGTATCAGGAAAGCACTCACTTACTAAAGATGGTTAATAATCTCAGTTAAGGGTTCAACAATAATGTCGATACTGAGTTTAATGATTCCCTTTGGAATGTTATCCACTCCAGAAGCTTTATAAGAGTTAAAGCTGTGACTTTAAGTTCATCAGCTGCGAGATGGCTTATGCCTTAAGAAATCTCTGAAGTTAGCAGTGGAGGGTGAGATCCTAGCTGCTAGATTTGGACCAATGTTAGAAAAATACTCGCTAAAACTGGTAGCAATAGAAGTGGGATCTGAGATAAGCTCGCCATTACTTTTAAAACAGGAGGGTAGGTTAGTTTAGACTTGCGTTTATTAAGTACCTCATTAAGGATTTTCCATCTAGTTTTTATGTCATTTTTGGAGGCTGCAAGTTTATGATCATAAAAGTTTCTTTTCGCGATCCTTATTAGGTGATTTAGCTTATTTTTAAAAGATTTATAAGTCTTTTCAACAGCGACACTTAGGTTCTTAAGAAAATGTTTGTAAAGTGTAGCTTTTGTCCTTATGGATTTCAAAAGGCCTTTAGAGAGCCAAGGGTTGCGACATGATTTTTGAGTACGACACTTAAGGTGACTCGACCCAGTTTTTTGGGGGGGTTACCATCCTACTTTGAAGCTCTCTGGTATCCCCACCTTTACTTTTATCGTAAGTCTAACACATAGAATGGATAACATATAGATCAATCTGCAATATAACATAAAATTTTTGGCGATCGGAGTAAATGTCACGTGGTTATAATGCCACGCCCCTTTGAGGTCTGAGTCGAAAATCGGCTGTTGCCGGCATTTTTTTGTGAAAATCTCTCGGCTACACATAGTGCGCATTAGTGCCTTGCGCTGAACAGAGTTTCACCAAAATCGCAAAGACCCAATTCGAGAAATTCAGCGGTTTCCAAATTTAGGTCATAATTTATGCGAAAATGATAACAAACTTTACACGGATTATATCTAATAAACCAAGAGATTCATCTCTTTATTTTGGGCATCGTTATAACAGATGGGTCCTTGCAAGTCAGCAAAACGCTTTAGGGCCTTGTAAATGCGCGCGATTTCGAGCAAAGCAAACATATAGAAATTATAGTTTTCGCTATTTGTTGACCTTTGTCAGCGTTTGAGAGTCCTTCTCACGAAAAAAGCATTTTCTTAAAAATTCGTAGTTTTTTTTCCTTCAAATTTTTTCAGGGCCACAATTGATTAACTAACTACCCGGACTCTGAATTTCATGGTCATTGAAAAACTGTGACATTATCTTCTATAAGCTCAAACTTGAATAAACATTGAAGATTTTTAGCGATTTGGCTGAGTTTGTGCTTTGGGAGTTGTCTATTGTTTCTAGTCTGTCATTATACAGCATTCTTGCTCAGCACGCGTGCAATGACCACGCTTGGCTGACTTCCGAATGCTCACCGAGATATTCCCGTCACGAGTTGATTTAATTATTGGCTTGCATTAAACCTATGAAAAAATGATATTTTTGTAATAGTAAGTAGACTTAGTGTGTAGCACTTCTTGATTTTTTTGCAAAGACACAAGAAGCACGAGAATTGATAAAAAATTGTTAGCTAAACCTCTATGTATCACGCGATGGCCTGTCTCACTGTACCAAAATTATAATATCTCGGTGAGCATTCGGAAGTCAGCCAAGCGCGGTCATTGCACGCGTGCTGAACAAGAATGCTGTATCATGACAGACTAGAAACAATAGACAACTCCGAAAGCACAAACTCAGCCAAAACGCTAAAAATCTTCAATGTTTACTCAAGTTTGGGCTTATAGAAGATAATGTCACAGTTTTTCAATGACCATGAAATTCAGAGTTCGGGTAGTTAGTTAATCAATTGTGGCCCTGAAAAAATTTGAAAGAAAAAAACTACGAATTTTTAAGAAAATGCTTTTTTCGTGAGAAGGACTCTTAAATGCTGACAAACGTCAACAAATAGCGAAAACTATAATTTCTATATGTTTGCTTTGCTCGAAATCGCGCGCATTTACAAGGCCCTAAAGCGTTTTGCTGACTTGCAAGGACCCATCTGTTATAACGATGCCCAAAATAAAGAGATGAATCTCATAGTTTATTATATATAATCAGTGTAAAGTTTGCTTATCATTTTCGCATAAATTATGACCTAAATTTGGAAACCGCTGAATTTCTCGAATTGGGTCTTTGCGATTTTGGTGAAACTCTGTACAGCGCAAGGCTCTAATGCGCACTACGTGTAGCCGAGAGATTTTCACGAAAAAATGCCGGCAACAGCCGATTTTCGACTCAGACCTCAAAGGGGCGTGGCATTATAACCACGTGACATTTACTCCGATCGCCAAAAATTTTATGTTATATTGTAGATTGATCTATATGTTATCCATTCTATGTGTTAGACTTACGATAAAAGTAAAGGTGGTGATACCAGAGAGCTTCAAAGTAGGATGGTACCCCCCCAAAAAAACTGGGTCGAGTCACCTTAAGTTGAATGGTTTTGTAGGAATGTTTTTGTTATATACTTTACTGAATTTGTTAACAAAAGATTCATAGGCTGAATTGGCATCTGATTTTCTTTTACAAATCAAATTCGACTGTTGATTGAAGAGCGTATTACAGAGCTATCCAAAATGTTTTTGTTGTTTAGTTCAAGTTTTTTATCACGGATTCAAGAAAAAAAAAGTAGAGGGACAGAAATTTCTGGGCTTTGTCTTGCTAATATGACTTAGCTTGTACTTTGTTGCTGGAAAAACTATATTTAGATGCTTAATCTCCGCGTGTTTACACTGTTTATGACAGAAAAATAAGCTTACGTTTGGTTCAACATAATCTCGTGTCACTCGGTACAAAGGGAAGTTATAACGAAGGTAAAGAAACATTCTTAGCCATTGAGTTGGTGTGTAAATTGTCTTATAGCTAGTGGATGGAATATTCAAGGACTTCATGGAATTTTAAGGACTTCAACTTGAACGCCGACCTAAAGATCTTTACCGATTATAAAATGGAATCATGGTTTTGGATTCTTGGCTGGATTCTGTCTATTCTGACGATAGCTGGAAACGGTTTCACCTTGCTTCTTGTGGGCGGCCAGCGTCGGCCTCGCACCAAAACCAACGCGCCCATCGTTTCACTTGCAGTGGCGGATTTCTGTGCTGGGCTCTCGTTGTTCCTTCACTTTTCTTCTGTAGACGTGGTAGCAACTGGCCTCGACCCTATGCTTCCTTGGCGGATTTTGTAACGTGGCTCTTTCGGTACGGCTCTATTATAAACCTGTGCAGCCTCGCACTAGATCGGTACATGGCTGTCGTAAAGCCACTGCGATACGTCAACTTCATGCCTGCAAGACGTATCACCCAGCTAACTTTAATTTCTTGGTTTATCCATCTTTGTCTTGCAATTTGTTCTGTTTTCATCTTCGATACGTAAGATAGTCTTAGCCGTATGTTGCATGTGCGCTCTTCGAGATTTTCTTCTGCTGCATGTTAATTTTCTCTTTTATTTCCATTGTAACGGTTGTATAAAAGCCATGTTGGTGGCCAAGAATAAAAGTATTTCTTTCCTCTGGGAACTAAATTCTATTTTCATGTAAATTAAACTAGAAAAACCAAAAATAGTGCGACATTTTTCAACCATGCTAGGTTGATTCTCAATGTCCTTTGTCTCCTGGGGGCCGTTTCTCGAAAGTCCCGGTAACTTTTCGGGCCCGGAATCAAATATTGAAATCGAAATATAAAGAATGAAAGCGTGGGTCGTGACTAGCAAACTACTCCATTTTGTTTCATTAAGGGCCTGTTTACATGGAGTGGGTGACCTCGGTCTGGTGGGGTTGGTTTCTTTTGTTTTCACGCTCTGGGGGACACAAAACAAAAGAAACCTACCCCACTAGACCGGAGTCCCCCACTCCATGTAAACAGGGTCTAACTGATAGTTTTATCATGTTAGATGCAAAACTAATAAAACCTCGATCTTTAATGTAAACGGCAACAGCTTACCGGGCCCGTTAATTATCGGGCATTCGAGAAACGGGCCCCAGAAACTGGCCCTAATTCATGAATAATCATGCAGGGTGAAGAGACAAAGAAATTGAGAATCAACCTAGGTTAAAAGATTTTAACCTGAATTTAATTTTGAACTCTAACAAGTATACTCCAAATAAACTTAGTGAAAGTGTAGGAGACACAATCTTATAATTATGTCTGGAAAAGCGAACAACTCAAAAGTTAGCGTGCTTGTTAATTGACATATTTAGTAAATATTAAATTTTCAGTTTAATTTCATTCATACCTTGTTTCATTTACCCATTTTGAAATATATGTATTCTCAGTCTTGTTAATTTAAGATGTTGATGTTCGTGTATCTGTTTCAACCCTATTATTGCAACTTTTTCTACTTTTCCTTCCCGTTTCGATTAGCTACAGGCTACTTTGCGGGCAAGGATTAATTTTGCATGTATCCAAAGTGTTTTTAATAAACTTAAACTTGAACTTGTTTTCCAAATTTGCAATGAATGTTTTATTTCAAAAACCAATGCGCTTCTGTTAGCCTGAGTTGCAGCCGACCCACCCATTGTCTAGACCACCGGATATAGGAGTGTCCCCAATAGGTTTCTCGGGATCCGGGATTTCCCTTAGGGATTATAAAGCAAAATCCGGGCAAGATTCGGGATTGAAAGTATGCCCGTAAGGTAGGATGCCAAAAATAAAAATGGGATTACGGGATTTTAAGGGATTGAAGAACCCTATTAGGGATCCTGATATAATATACAGGCGGTTAAGAGTGTCTACGACTCAAGCTAGCTTCTGGTTGGCACAATAATGTCAAAAGGTGACGTCAGCGGGAATATCACTTTTCACTCCAAGTGTTGTGATGTGTGCAGTTCTAACCAAAGAAATTGTAAATTATTGGCATAATTGTGATGAATTCCTGTTCGTCATTATTACTTCATATTTTCTCGGTCCGGCTGCAGATCTAGCTACACGATCAATAGAAGCAAGTAGAGAGAGCACGCGTGAGGCACACCGGACGGGTCCAAAGTATCTGTACAACAGCCCTTCAACTACAGCCAGACGACAGCTCCGCACCAAAACGAACTGGTTTATAAATTCAGTTGCAGTGGCAGATCTCTCTGTTTGGGGAGTTATTCCCAACATGTTCGTATACGATGTTAAATTGGGTTCCAGTGGGAGGGATACTTAGTGGCAATGTCTTATAAGACTGCTGTTTAGCTACGACAAAAGTAGGTATATCGCCTTTGCGAAGCCTTTGAAATATTCAATTTGCATGACTGCAGGTCTTCGCGTTTTTCATATGATTATTTTTTTTTCTTAGGCGATCTCTTTTTGCCTTGTGACGACTCTCGTACTTCTGTAATCACATTCACTGGCGCCATACGTTCAAATAAGTAGTAAGCCTGTTACCTATCCTATTTGAGCTATTTTCTAAATAGCAATTGTTGTATACGAACAAGACCGATCAGTAGGAATGGTGGCAAAATAGCTGAGAGGATTGACAATTAACAAGCACGACAAATCGGCATTCGCAAACATGGCGCCCGATTGTCGCGGGATTTTTTCTAATTTGCTGTAGAATATATTTGCGATGTAGTATTAGTTAATCTTTTCCACATAGAATCAATGAAGAGACGACTCCTATACCGATGTTGGTTTCAAACGATGCCATTAACCCAGCGGCTTATGCCTTTTACAAAGGGACATAAACAAAGAGATAAAAAGACTGCTGTGTAAATATTGTCTGAAGAGAAGAACCTTCGGAAGGATAATTATCATAATATTACCACTGAGATAAGTCACTAGGAAAACAGACTGATGTGGTGCTGATATGAATCGGAAACTAAAAAGAAATTGCACGTGATAGTAAATACATTTCATGTTCCGTTTTAGACCATTTTAACCGTTAGAAAATAGAGTGTTTCTACCTTTGAATCGACTGGAACTCAAACAACATAAGACTACGTTTTTTCAAGTTATGCCATTGTGACATAGACGAATCACTCAAAATCCTATTCATATCGGTAGCTAGGTTTAGGAATTAGTTTTTTAAGATATCCTGATCCCTTCCCAATCGCCTAACAGTAATGAAACAAACAACAAAAATTAAGATATAAGATAAGCCAGCTTAGACTCAGCTTTATCTAGTTTAGTTCTTTCTTCAAATACAGAATTCAGAATATTCGCTTTCTTTGTACTACTATCACTAATGGATATATAATTATGTTATGACGTTACCAGCCGAAAGGGAAAGGGGATTTCGAATTCAATGCTTTGCATGAACGTTGAGTGACTTATTGTCATCAACAAAAGTTATTCGCTCATTTCATTAGTGAGGTTTCTCCTTCGAGAAAAGAAAAGCCACCTTTACCTTTTTTTTCCTAATACAGAATTCAGAAAGTTCACGTGATTTCTCTGCATTATCAATAATCTAAACAAAATTAGTTCCTACTGATATCATTTAAATGTCGTCACCAGCCAGAATAGTAAGCGGAGTCGAAATTCCATGCTTTGCATAAAAGTTGCTTGAATTTTTTGTCCTCAACAGAAATTTAATGGCTTATTTTGTTCGTTTTTTTTCTTCAATTAATATAAGAATTATTATATAAGAATTACATGTAAGAATTATATGATACAAGAATTATCAACGAGTGGTCCGTTATAAAATAGAAAAGGATGCCGGAGCGTTAATTGCCAAGGGGAGCGACACTGAGTCTCCACAAAATGGTCTTTCGTTGATCTAAGAGCTTCATTTAAATTTCAAGAACAATATCTTGAAAACAACCTTCTAATTGGTCTCAACTTAGCAATCATAAATTGACGTATACGGTTATTATGCTCGTATGATAAGAAGCTGAAGACGCCGCAATTGTTGCCAGATGTTAATAGATTAAAGTTGTCATACGTTTCTTTCAAGGAACTGAACGTACTACTTTCAGCTAAAGATCTGTACCGATAATAAAATGGAATCGTGGTTTTGGATTCTTGGCTGAATTCTGTCCATTCCGACGATAACTGGAAATGGATTCATTGTGCTTCTGGTGAGCTGTCAACGACAGCTTCGCACCAAAACCAACGCCCTCATCGTTTCACTTTCAGTGGCGGATTTCTGTGTTGGGGCGTTCGTTGTTCCTTCACTGTTCTCTTGTCACATTAGAGGTGGTTGCAACTGGCCTCGACCCTATGCGTCCTAGGTGGATTTTATAAGGTAGCTCTTTGCGTACGCCTCTATAATGAACTTGTGCAGCGTAGCACTTGATCAGTATATGGCTGTTGTGAAGCCACTAAAAAAAGTCGCCATCATGACTGCGCGATGTGTCAACTTACATCAATTTCTTCGGTTATCCCTCTTTGTCTTGTAATTTTTGCCCTTTTCATGGTTCTGTATCCAACATTTTCTTCATGTAGAATAGTCGTAAGGGTATGCTCTGCGCTCCTCGAGATTTTCTTCAGCTGCATACTCTAGCTTGTTGCGCAATTTACTTGCGATGTGCGTTTATTCAGATTTGGGGAAACCATACAACTCAACGTTCGTGTCAAAATGGCTTCAAATATAAAATACCATTGTTTGTTCTAAACTCGGCCATAAATCTTCTGGCTTACGCTTATTATATAAACACCAATGAACTACCAAACCATTTCACTTTTTATAGTTTTTTGGTGTGAAAGGCGCGATTTATTATGAAGCCATAGCAACGGTGATATTTTCGCATGTGAAGATATCAAGGTTTCGAGCGAAAGCTCACCTGGTAATTCATTAATGTTTATATAAATTGTTTTATTAAATGTATGCCATCTAATGACGTCTGAAGCCAAAAAAGGAAGGGAATTTCCACACTTTGCTTATTAAACGTTGATTTATTTGTTGACATCCAACAAAGTTTAATTCGCTCTATTTATTAGTTTTTTGATTACTACAATTAATATCGGTTGTTACAGATGAATCAAGCCAAAATAAGACAGAGCGACAGAGCGTCTTATTGCATTTGATAATAGGAGCCTTACGTCTCCAGAAAATTGTTTTTAGTTGAGTTGAGCGGAAGTTTCATTAAATGTAAGTAAGAACGTAGTTGAAAACGACCTTTCTTATTGGTCTAAACGCTTTTGCTGTCCTGCAATCAACGTAGCAATAATAAATTGACGTACTATATATGACATCCTTATATTGTAGGCGCTTACACCAGGCGTTAATACTTGTTCTTTTTTAATGCTTAAATGGTACAGGACCTACTTATATTGGAAGCCTTTTTAAATACAGGCATACACCGGTATCGGCTAAGAGGCGAGGGCTTGAATTTGAAATTACCTAACTTTAATCTTACATTTAAGAAGAATTCTTTCACTTATTTATTAACTACGTTATGGAACAGCTCGCCTTCTCAAGTGCGTCTTTCAAGTGATGCTAATGACTTCAGCAGTAAAGTGCACGATTGTAGCTATTTAGAACGAGTATTATAGTTTCCTAGTCACGTTTTAAGTATGTGGCTTTTTAGTCGGTTTTAGCTTTTTATATTTTATGTTTTAATTACCAAGTTTTTTATATGTATAAATTTATTGCGTTGTTTTTAAAATTGAATAATATTATAACATAGCCGTAATTATTATAGATTTTATTTATATACGTTCGTATTTTGAACGAGTTTTTTAGCTCTTTGACGTAACGTGTTAAAATAAATGATTAATTGATTGATTGATTGATTGATTGATTGATTGATTGATTGATTGATTGATTGATTGATTGATTGATATATCATGTTCGTCAGATAAGGGGCAAACGTTACCAGATGTTTATAAAATAACCAAACCGGTTTCTTTCAAAGACATAAACTTGAACGCCCAGCTAACGCTCTGTACCGAATATAAAATGGGAACTTGGTTTTGGATCCTTGGCTGGATTCTGTCCATTCTGACGATGGCTGGAAATGGTTTCACCGTACTTCTTGTGGGCAGTCGGCGTCGGCTTCGCACCAAAACCAACGCGTTCATCTTTTCACTTGCGGTGGCGGATTTCTGTGTTGGGGCGTTCGTTGTTCCTTCACTGTTCGTCTGTCACTTCAGAGGTGGCTGCGATTGGCCTAAAAGCTATGCGTCCTGGGTGGAATTTATAAGGTGGCTCTTTCAGTACGCCTCAATAATGAACCTGTGCAGCCTCGTACTAGATCGGTATATGGCTATTGTAAAGCCACTGAAATACGTCACCTTCATGACTGCGCGACGAGTAACCCAACTAACATTTATTTCTTGGGGGATTCCTCTTGGTCTTGCAATTTGGTCTCTTTTCATGACTTTATATTTAACATTTTCGATATGTTCGATGTTCTTAGCCGTACAGTTTGCGATCCTCGAGATTTTCTTCATCTGCATGTTAAGCTTCTGTTTTATTTCCATGTTAACAGTTGTATACAAGCAAACTCGATCATCAGCCATCTTAGCAAAACAGTTACGTTTCAACCACCAAGGTTTGATATTCAACGCATATGACAAATCAGCAGTTGTAATGTTGGCAGTTGTGGTAGGCTTCGCTCTAGCTTGTTTCGCAACTTACTTGCGATGTAGCTTTCTTCAAATTAAAGTTTTCGGAAACCATACAACTCAACTACACCTTTCGTGTAAAAGTGACTTTGCGTACAAAATACCTATGATAGTTCTGAACTCTGCAATAAACCCTTTGGCATACGCTTTCTTTAAGCGTGATATTAAAAAAGCCCTAAAAGGAAAATAGCTTTCTCCTGAGGTTGGTCGACTTGGCAAAATGTATTTTAGATTGTAAAAGCTTAACCTTAGAGTGTATATTCCCAACAAATTCGTTGAATGTGTTCACCTTAAATGTAGCGCAATTCTAACCATGGAATAAATTATTGGCATTTTATGATAAATTCCTGTTTGTTTTACTAATCCATTTTTTCTCGATTTCCTGTTGATGAAGATGTAAAAAAAGTCGTCTTTAGCGTTATATGCACCTGTCTCTATTTAAAAAAAAAAAAAGAAATTAGCTTCTGCCTCGCTAAGAAGGTGAATAGTGATTTTGATTGGTTGATTATAAATTCCATGTTTAAATGGTTTTTAATAACACCTATTGGGGGCTTCCCTTGACAGTCTTAACAACGTCACGAATATTGTAAATTTTAATTTGAGATGAACACCTTGACTGACCAATATTTTGCAGTCAAGAAAGAGCAATAAAAGAAATAGAAAATTAGATACAATAACACAGGTAACTTAAGTTACGAAGAAGTTCTCCCTTTTTTCAAGTGCCTAAGTTTTTAAATTCACTTGACAACAAGGTCATCAACTCTCAATCCTTCTCCTCTTTTAAGAAAAAACTGAAGATTAAATTATTGAGTAAGTATAAAAACAGTTCATAAGTCTTCCCATCTTCGACTTTTCCAATTCTTTTCTTCAATTGATGTGAAACAGCTCTATCTCATAGTTCGAGGAGGCCTAACCTCTCATAAGCTCCTATAGTTTCTGTTAGGTCTCCTCGCCACTTCTTTTTTTCTTCTTTTCCTATATTTTTTGTAATTATTGTGTGGCAAATAAAATAAAATAAATAATAAAAAAATAAATAAGTTTACATCTGTTTATTTACATGTCAAAGCCAAAGGGAAAGTAAAGAGTAGCGGGCATAGACCATGGAGGTGTGGTATACCCTTTCAAAAGCAATTGGGATGTAAGTCCTGTTTCATCCCCTGTCACTGTGGCAAATTCAAAAAAGTTAAAGCACACAGCCCAGGGGGACCCTACGAGAATATAGTTCAAAACCACTTAAGCATAGCATTGTTAAACGTATTTTAGTATTTAAACGGTCATATAGGCATATTTTTATCCAGTAAAAATTTTTCATCTGTTCGGATTTCCTAGCTGAAAGTCTAGTGATCAGAAAATTATAGGGATCAAAACTTACCTTTTCAAAAATTTTCAGCCAGAAAAAAGGCTCCCGAAAATTCTAGGTGACCTTCTTGGGGTAAAAATTCTTTAAAAATGAGCAATTATACCATTTTTCAGATGTTTGAAAATCCTAGGAGAGGTAGGCAAGCAAGAAATTTTACAAAAAATGTTGCGAAAATTCTACATCTCAAATCGTCTTCCGAACAGATATTTTCCGAAAATTGACGTTGGGTGCCCCTGACAGCCTTGTCGCCTTTCTCTGCTTATGTCTCCTCAAGAGAATGCGCCGCCAACCCCTAAGCATGTCTTATTTACAAGGTAGGTAATTTCTTATCAACAAACAGCTGTGTTTGTGATTGAAATGCCAACTGAGCATGATCAGAAGCCAATTATTAGCTAATAGAAAAGGATATCAAATGTTTCCCATAGATCCCACAGCAATTAATGCAAAAAATTCTCCAAGGACATGGGATTTCTTTCACTCTTCAGTGAATCACATTAGACATAATTTAACAGCCACCATTTTTCCTATATGCTAATAGTTATAATATGGCTTTAACTAATGAAACCTTTTGTAGACAGTGCATATTAAACTTCCAAACTAACAAGATGTTACCTCAAAAATAATTCAATTTTAATAAAAAAATTATTAATCAATAATCAGTTACATGTGGTAAAGCCCCGAGAACATCTTTGTGGGCTGGAGGCTATAACTAAGACCCAGTTGCTAGCTAATTTCATCCACTGGAATAGAGATTAAATTGCTTTAGAAAACAACAACAGGTAATTCTGAAGGTGCAGTTAAGAAAGAACTCTGGATTGACTGATAAAAAAGCATGCTTAGCTTTTCCTTAGCTCCATCTGAGGTGATGTAGGGTATTTTGCCTCTGTGCAAATTTTGGTGGCAAGGTGCTACTGGGACTTCCAAACTTTTAAAACCTGTGTTAAACTTAGTTCAGCAGAAATTTTTGTGACCCTATTTTACAGTAGACCAACAGCTGTAATGTTCACACTAAATTGTCTTTTACTACATGCAAGTTCAGATTACATGACACCTTAAGGAAATATCAACTGTTATCTGCAGTTTCCTTCTCAAACCTGTTTCTGGACACTGGCCAGGAGGGTAGTTAGTAAATGTCTTTTTAAATGGGACACCCCTCATCAAATTCTAAATCCTCACCTTTTCACCCACCTTTAAATTAACCTTTTATTTACTGTCCCAATGGCACAAAATCATTATCAAAAGTAAACGTCACCATTGAGTGTAATATGTAACTATCAACCAGCCTATCTTCTTACCTAATCCGAGTCCAGTTGGAAGTTGGAAGTCAGAACTACTAAGGATGAATTTTACTTTATCCAGTCTTTCAGTCAACCGTGGATGTGTGTAGGATTTCACTTCATTGCCCTCTTCTGTAAAAAAGTCTTCACCTTCTTCTCCAAGCAAACTTCGCTGGACAAGATTTAGTTTCAGTCTTCTTGTGAAAAAGTCTACTCCACCTTTAGCTATCTGCGGAGTGCACTCAGCAGAAATTTTATCTGCATTGAATTCACTAAAGTGTTGTACCTTTCGATTCACAAGCCTGTAAGCAAAGTAGTTGACTCCACAAACGCTTAGATTAAGAAGTAAGTTCCACATGGCTTGCTTTTTAAAAGTTCTATAATGGACAAAACGGATCATTTTATATGTCAGAAACAACCAGAAAGGCGAGGCAAAAATATCAAACATTTTGAATTCTAAGCGTTGGATGTGTGCTAGTTCGTAACCAATGGTGAAAGCGATCATATCTGACGTAGGAACATAACAAAATTTCACAGTTTCTCCGAATTCTGAATCCCACTGGATATTTCTTCCTTGAAATTTCAGACCGGAAGTTGCAACTTCTTCTTCAGTTTGATACAAATACCACCTTGGCAAACCTATCACTGCTCCCGCAGGAAACCATGTCGAACCGGCAGACACAGCATGAAAACCTTCATTCACAAATAAGGTCACTTTCTGTTCACTCGGAAACTGAACACAAAAGTTTCAATTCTTCGTCGCATTCGTAAACTTATACCCTCAGATATTATGATTAAACTGTACAAAGCATTTATTCTGCCTCACTTTGAATACGCATCACCATTGTTCATAGGTCTAAGTAAAGGTTTGTCTGCAAAACTAGAGTCAACCAATGCATTTGCTCTTAGGACTCTTCTTAACTACTCCAAGTCGACTGCTTATGAAGACCTACTTAAAACTGTACATATCAAAAGCTCGGAACATCGACGCATAGAACAAGCACTGATACTTGTATACAATACGCTCTTCTCACTTATGGTAATATGCCCGTCTAACCTCGTTTACGGGTAAAAATTCTTTTGAAATTCAAATACGAAAACGTCGTCTGATTAGCATTTCAAAGGACTTTTTACTCAAAAACGAGGTTAGACGGGCATATTACCATACGTGAGAAGAGCGTATAGCATTTATAACCAGGCACCGAACTACATTCGGGAAATGTTTTTACTGCGAAGCAATGGTTACAGCCTACGGGGCCATCTTAAGGTTGTTCTTCCAAGACCGACCTCATCTTATATGCAACATTCTTTCACGTACCAGGCTGGCAAACAATGGAACAGTCTACCAGACAAAATAAGGATGTCGGAGTCCCTCTCTATCTTTAGGAAAAACTTACAAAACATACAGTTGTCTTCATCGTATGACTGCAACTGTGAATTTTGTAAATAGACAATCTGATTACCAATATTTTTTCTTTTTAAATTATTATTATCTTTTAGTTGGTTTAATTTTTCTATTTCTTATTTTTATTCATTACTCGTACATGTAGATTATGTAAATTATCACGTTGTAATTTTTATGGCACATTTGCATTTAAACGAGCTATCGCTCATATGCGATATGTGGTTAAATAAAATTACTTACTTACTTACTTACTGTTCTTCAAACCTAATTTCACGACTACTTCTTTAAACTGCTCGCGGCATGTCTCAGGAACGTCTACGAGGATGCCATTTTCATCTTTTAGAGCGTTAACTTGCTTACAAGCCTGATGGGGAAATAACTCCCCAGAAGCATTAATCACAAATAATCCTCCAATACCAAGACGAATACAAACACGGACTATTTTATCCGCCATATTAGATTTAGTAAATGACCCGGCCTGGTGCCTAGTTTTGACCTCAGCCCCAGATCCTTCTGGACGATATCTCACAGGCAGCCCAGTCGTTAGCTCGGTGTTCCTGTGTTAATAAATTGATGTTTCCTTGCTTCTGGGAGGCCAGCTCATCAGAAGGCTGTGCTCTAGCAGTGCTCAGTGGCCCCTAGCAACTAACTTAGACCCTGTTGGTGCGTAATTTACTTGCGATGTGGGTTTGTTCAGATTTGGGAAAACCATACAACTCACCTTTCATGTAAAAATGACTTCAAATATAGAATACCAATGTTTGTTCTAAACTCGGCCACAAATCCTCTGGCTTACGCTTTATTCAAGCGTGACAGTAAACGGGCATTAAAAGGACAATAACTTGCCTCTTAGGTTGCTCGATGCGGCGATCATTCAAAGGCGGCGTTTGTTCAAAATGACATTTCTTGAATAAATGACAAAAATTACCATGAATCATCTGAAAATAATATGTAAAACAGAACGACGTTTTCAGTTTAAGGTTCCAAAGTCTCGCTGGAACTATAGGTATATATGTGCCGCCCCAAAGGGCATTGGTTTTTGGACCTTTTTGGTCTGAAAACGGCTACTATACACTTTGACCATTTTGGTCTGGAATCGGGTATGGTTTTCGAGGGAACTACGGGAGCGTATGAACGTATTTATCGTTTCAATTCCAAATGAATAAGAACGAATTAGAAATATGGCAATTCGAAATACATTTGACGATTTTTTTTTGCCCTCTAATTTAAGTAATGATGACATAATTTTTGCCTTAAGGCCAGGTCTGAAAACGGGTATGTATTTTAGAGGTCTGGTCTGAAAACTGGTGTCGTAAACGACATTTTTTGGTCTGAAATAGAGTCAGGACTTGGATAACCGGGCGGCAAGCCCCCCCCCAATAATTCCCAAGAGTACCTCCCCCCCGGGTTTCATCTAGACATTTCGGTCCGTGTGCTTACCAAGCAGAGAAGAAATTAAAGATGGCTGGAACTATGACAAACATGCAATTTTTGCCCTTCTGCAGTCCTTAGTAGCGTTAATTAATAACTAGCTTTCACCAGAAACTGTAGAAAAAAACTGTAAACTTTTATCAAATAACCAAACCGGTTTCTTTCAAAGACATAAACTTGAACGCCCAGCTAAAGTTCTGTACCAATTAAGAAATGGTAAACGTGCAGCGTGCAACCATGGAGTTATGGATGCACGCGGGAGGTTGCTAAGCACGAAAGAAGCGTAAGAGTCGCACGAGGCGATAGCCGAGTGCGACTCTAGCTTCTTGAGTGCTCAGCAAACCTCCCAAGTGCATCCATAACTCCATGGTTGCACAGCTGCAACGTTTACCATTTCTTTTATAACATAATCAAAAGAGAAAAACATTGTTTTCCATTTGCCTTCAGTTGAGTCATCGGTCGGAGTTCATGTATGCTGCCATCTGCCCGCGCGTAAACAAATCATGTTCTATGTTTTTCAAAAACTTGCCTTTGAGTTTTTCT